GCCACAACTAGACGGACCCACAATGAAGAATATATACAACTATGTACCAGGGGGCTTGGGGAGAAGAAGGGAAAAATAAAAAAATCTAAAAAAAAAAAAAACCCATAAAACCAAAAAAGTGCCCATGTGCTTACAAGGAACAGCGAGTCAGCTGGGAGCTTTTGGAAGCGGCCCTGTTCTCTGGCTGGACTGGCCTAACAACGAAGGTGCGTGAGTAGAAACACAGCAGAGATGTAAAGAAGGGAGGAATCAGGAATCCGTCACGAAGACTATTATCTACTAATCAGTAATCATGTATGAGGTATTTTTCTCACGCATTTCCTCACTTAACAGCTGTATGAAATAAATACTACTGTTATCTCCACTGTATATTTGGAGGAAACTGAGATTTAGAAAAGGATAGAACAACTCACTCACCTGAGATTCTAAAAGAAAAGAAAAATCCCAGCACAAAATGGCCGAGCTGGGGTATAACCCTGAGCCTTCAGACTCCCCAGCTGAGCTCTTTTACCCCCACCCAATGCTACCCAGAAGACTGTGAGGAGAAAAGACGAGAAATAAAGGATCTGGGATATTGTTGAGGCGGTGAAAGTGAACCTGAGGCATAATCAACAGAGGACGGAATCCCAGGCCACCCAATTTTATTTAGGAAATGACATAGTCATGTGGCTCTGTTGCCTGGCTTCAGAGCCCCGACCCAATAGAGACTGGGTCTTTAGGGAGTAATTTGGGGCCATTTCACACATTTCTGCTGCCAAGCCATAAATGAAATTAATCCTCAGGCTGGACAGAATGATTTGAGCTGCTAGAGAGGTAAGGGTTTGTATTCCCCAACAGACTTCTTTAGCTGTGCAGGACAATCCTAGGAGAGTTTTTATTGTTGCTGTTGTTATTGTTAATTGTTTGTGTTTGAATTGTGGTTCCTAACCATTTGGGGCTTTGCAGAACGCTTGAAGAATCTAATTAAAGTCCTAGACTTCTCCCCCCAGAAAAATATATATGCACACATACACACACGATTATATATAGAATTTCAGGGTGCCCGCCCCCACCCCCTAGCTCATTCACAGACAGCGCCGTCTAGGAGTGCATGGACACAGTTTAAAATCCCTGAAACCTGGCTGGGAGTCCCAGCTTTCCCTCTGCCCAGGTAGGCGATCTTAAGCAAGTCACTCCACATCTCTGGACTCCATTCCAGGCAGCCACAGAGCGGAGGTGAAGAACTGCCACTCTGGGGAATGGTAACTTTAGGGAACAATAATTTTGACAAGGTTCTCTTGAAGGATTTAAACCAGCCCTCAACCGTAGAAGCCTTGCCACCTAAAAATTACATGAAGAAATGAGAAGGGAACTGGGGACATTTAGCCAGGGGTAGAGCACCCCACAGAGGCACGCAGGCCCTCTGAACTGGGTTGAAAGCTTTTTCATGTGGATGGAGAAGAAGTCTCACTCTGGAAGTGGCTCAGAGGGGGAGATGGGGTGGAGGGGAAGCAGCATAGCTTGATGTTAGTGTGGCATCCGCGTTGAACAGGCATGGGTTAAATCTAGGTCTGTCATTTACCAGACAAGTTATGCAACCTTCCTGAACTCTAACATGGAGGTGATAATCATGTCTAGCTCGCAGGATTTTGCGAAAAATCAAATGAGGTAATGCATGTAAAGGGCTCAGTCTTCAAACAAAGACAGACCTCAACAGGTGTTATCTTCTCTAATAAACTCTCTGACTCTCCATTTATTTATCTGTAAAATGGAGATAATAGCTGTACCTGACTAGAAGGTTCTTGTGAGACTTGAATAAGAAAACATATGTTAAAAACCCTTGGTACAGGACAGAACACATAGCTAAGTCCTCAGTGGGTGGTAAGTGCCGTTCTTATTAGGAATGTCTCATTATGAAATCCAATGGGAAGAGAAGACAGTAAAGGGAAAGAACATGACTGTTCACTTCAGACTGGAAGGCAAGGCGAGATCAAATAAGATCTAAGAGCATGGAATCAGAGCTGGACTTCCCGGATCTGGCACCTGAGAGCTACGAGGCCTTGGGAAAGTTACATGAAATAGGGATACGAACATCTGCTAAAGAGGGGTTGCACAAACGGCCCCATGAGGACAGCTTGGCATTGTGTCAGAACATGATACATGCTCTATAAACTCTGATTTCTTCCATAACGAGTAGATGTTACACGGAGGCTCACAGACCGCCTTGTGACAAGCTCCTTTTTCGCAGTGCAGCCTATGGCTATTATAGCAGTGTTCTTTCTCTCCTGGGATTTGTCAAGGAGGATTGAAATGAAAATTATCAGGGATATTACAGAAGAGGGTAAAACATCAGATGACCTCTTGCTCCGCTGCAACTCAGTCTAAAATAGTCCAAGATTTAAATGGCATAGATGATAACATTTTGAAAACTCCTTACCCACTCTGCATCCCTTTTCTAGTTGCTACCTTCTCTTTTGCCAGAAAATAGCCCCCACCCTTACCCCATCCCATGGACAAAGATTTGGATCTTCAGTGCCTCATTTCCCTTAGGTTTTCAACAACCAGTCCAGATTTTCTGTCTTCCCCCTGTACGAGTTAGTGCCTGCCAAAGCTTTTCCACTTTAGAGCATCCTGGCATTTCGTCTTGATTTACAAGCTTCCTTCAAAACCTATCCCCCTTGCACTCCCTCTTGTCTGTCCCTTCCAATTCTATCTTCTGAGCCTCTATGAGTGATGTCACATTGCCTCCTTCACAGAGTTAAAGGATGGCTGTTTTCTGGCTAATAAACCTATGGAAAGACACTCAAACTCTCTGTTAATCAGAACAACAAAAGAAGGAGATGACATTTTCTCAGAAGATTGAAAACAATTAAACCAATGGTCATATCAAGTGGAGGGAGGATAAGGGGAAGCAGATACTCTGTGGGTGGGAAAATAAATGGGCACAGCCTTTTCAAGAGGACAATTTTGAAATAGCTATCAAATTTAAAAGTGTACACTTCTTTCAGCCTAGCATTTCTACTTCCGGGTCACCACCCTAGCTAGAGAAACACTCGCATAAACATGTAAGGCGGCACTCACACACAAGGATGTTCACTGCAGGCTACTTATGATAATGAAACATTGGAACAACCTAACTGACCCTCGTTGGACAATGGATACTGTAAGTATCTGTAGCATAAAATTCCACCCAGCAATTTAACATAATGGTGCAGATCTACATGGACTGAAGAAGAAGGCGGGCCGAGGCATAATGTTAGGTGACAACAACAAATGCAAAAGGCTGCATACAGTATGATAGCATTTGTTAAAAATTCACACACAAAACAAATTGTCTATTTCTATATCTGTGCACACACACAAGGGAATAGAAAAAGATCTGAAGAATGATCATTTCAACTAATAGCAGTGATTATCTCAGAGGAAGGGCTGGGATTAAAGACAGGGAGTCAGAGAGAATTTTATTTCTGTCTTTTTTTATGTAATCCTAACAAAAATACATGAGTGTGATATGTAGTGTAATTTAAAATAAATTAGGAACATTTTGAAAAATGAATGCGTGATTTTCCTACTAGCGTTCCTAGCTTCAAGTCAGAAGTGGCTGAGGAAGAAGGGGAATCCCAACAGAGGGCTCGAAGAAATGAGCGGAGGAGGAAGCCAGCACAGATGCTTTGGGCATGTTTCGCTTTCATCCCAGCTTGCGGGAGGATGTAAGACGTGACCACAGTGGAACCAAAATAGCTGAATCCCAAGACAAGCAGGCAGATGACAGACTGTTCCCATGGCCAAAACAACCCACTCTCAGGAGCACAGCCCCCTTGCCTCTTGGCTGAGGAAATGTCACCAAGTCACTCATTTCCCACATCGATGCCTGGAATGTTGACTGGAGAACCCGACATTTGCACCCAGGAAAAAACAAAGGAAAAGAGAAAATAGGAATAGGTAAATATTTCCCTTCCTATTTTTGGTGCCACCCTCTCCCCTAAACCAACTTCTGTCATTAGAAAGAAGCGCTAATGTTTTCTGAGCATTCAGTACATGGTGGACACTCTTCTAAGTGCTCTACATGCATTCTCTCACTGAATCCTCAGAAAGAGACACAGGATACATGTTACTATTATTTCCTTTTTACCAATGAGGAAGCCAAGGCCCACAGAGATTAAGTAACTTCCTCAAAGTCACGCAGAGGCAGGATTTGTACCCAGGCAGAATGACGCTAGAGCACACACATGAACCGCTCTACTGCACTGCCTCCCTATGTTGTACTATCACAAGCCTTGATCTCTTTGCGCCATAGGTGTCTGTTTTCTTCTGCTTGATTATAAGCCCCATTAAGATAACATCTATCTTTTGAGATGCTACCATTTGAGTGCTTACTATGTACCAGGCATTTATCTAAGACCTTTACGTGCATGAAGTTATACAACTCTACAACAAACCTGGGAATAAACAGGCCAGAGACCCCCAACAAAAAGGAGTAGAGCTGAGAGTCAAGCCCAGGCAGTCCTCTCTAAATCCTTAGAAGAGTCCTTAGAAGAGTCCTTAGAATCCCCAAGGATGTGAAACACATCTTATTTTCAAGGCATTCTATGACCCTGGGCCCTAGTAAATCCTAAAGAAGTCTTAATGGATGGATCAAAGGACAAGTGAATGAAAGACTTCTCCCTCCACTGTAAAAAGCCGGTGAGGTCAACAAAAGAAGATTGATGTGCTTGGAATTATCACGAGACAGCTAAGCACCACCTGGCTTGGAGTGGAAGGGCAGATATTCCAGAGATATGCTATCATGGAGAACTGCACGAATGAATCAAGGTTGGTGTCTGTCTGTCTGTCTCTCTCTCTCTCAAAGCCACAAGAATGAATGAACCACAATTGAATGAACCACAATGCTACCCTGACACCAGTTTGTCCTAGGTGGGCTTCATGGCACAGAGGACCCAAAAGTTATCTCTAGTCATCTGATTCAACAAGATTTTATTCTCCTAATCCAAGGGATGAGGAGAGAGTGTGTGTCCACAAACCTTTGGATGTGAGTAAGGCAATGTCTCCAGAAGTCACCTCGGTGATTCTCTGGGAGTCACTGGAGGGAGGGAAAGTTTCTGATTCTGGAAGAGAAAAAATGCGTGATAAAAGGCAGCTAAGAAAGCCTTCAAACCAACTTATGATTGTTTCCCAATGTTCTTTCCTCAGAATCAAAGGTTGAAACATGGTGGGAGCTTTGATAAGCCCCCATAAGTAACAGAGCTAGTAACTCAGTGAGAGTTCCAAGGTAAGGATCAAGAAGGATTGAGGAGAAAAAAGAAAGAAAGAAAGAAGAAACAAGGGTAGAACCAGTTCATCATCAAGGGATATTTTAAGGCCTCTAGAGGACTTTGCTCAGCCAATCTCCAATTCCCAGGCAGAGATTTAACCCCTGGCAGGAGGGAAATAGAGTTTGACCTGGGGTGACTTTTCCTGGTTCTTTAATAAATGTCTCCAAGACTCCTGGAAGGTCAACTGGAGTGTCAAAAAAGCTGACTTTTCAAAAACACAAAAGGAAAAAACAGACAAAGAAAGGAAACCATAAAACAAAGAAAAGGAACAGTTTAGTGAAACCACATCCTCAATGACACACACACACAAATTCAGTTTAGGTTGAATTGTATCCCCCCCAAAATTCACATGTTGAAATTCTTACCCCCAGTACATGAGAATGTGACTATACGTGGAGAAAGAAGTAATTAAGGTAAAATGAGGTTATGTGAATGGGCCTAATCCAATATGACTGGTATCCTTATAAGAAGAGGAGGTTAGGATACAAACATGCACAGAGGGAAGACCACGTGAAGACACAGGGAGAAGATAGCCATCTATAAGCCAAGTAAAGAGGCCCCAAAGTAAATCAACCCTCCTGACACCTTTATCTCAGACTTCTAGCCTCCAGAATAGTGAAAAAATAAATTTCTGTTGCTTAAGGCACCCATTCTGTGGTATTTGTTATGACAGTTCTAGAAAACTAATACACACACACACACACACACACACACACCCCAAGAGCAGGTCTCTGGACTGTCCCGTTCAATGGGAGAACCCTGTTCCAAGAGAGTAAGATACATATGACCAGCAGAAGAGAAAGAATGGCCAGTTGTACCACATACCTGAAGGGAGGGTAGGCCCCTCTGTGGGAGGTTCAATGGTTGGAAGAATTGTGGTTGCCTCAGGAAGGGAGCTCAGTGTTGTCAGAGGGCATGTGGTTGCCGTTGTTGTGAGGGCAGTGGTGGTTTTTGTCTCAAGTGGTGTTCTGGTTGTGAGGGCAGGTGTCGTCATGACTGTTGTTGGAAGCACCGCTGTGGTTGTCGTCACAGCAGTGGTGGTGGTTGGATGACGGGTTGTTGCTGACTGCGTGGTTGTTGGGGCTGTAACCAATAGAAGAGATGTCTGGTATCAGGTGGAGATGGAGGAAAAGGGAAACAGTACAAATATGTCTGGGATCCATCCATTTCTCTGCATTCCTGCTGCCCTCACCTAGTCCACTAGCTGGGACCATTGTAGTGCCCACAAAAATTGGGTTTCTTGCCTCTATGCTTGACCTTTCCGATCCGTTCTTCACACATTGGCTATAACAATCTTTTAAAATGACAAATCTAATTATGTCAGTCCCCTGCTTAAAAGTTTTTACTGGATCCTCCTTGCCCTTAAGATAAAGAATCCACCTCCCAACCTCAGCCTACAAAATTCCACCTGATCTGGCTCTTTCTTTCCAATCTCCTGTCAATCTACTCATCTTACTTTTCCCCCAGTCCACTGGCCTTTCTTCAGTTCTTCGAACATATTAGGAACCTTCTATCTGGAGGAACTTTGAACCTACTGCTTCCTGGTCTCTCCCTTCACTAGGCTAACTCTTACTTAACCCTCACCTCTCAGCTAAAAGGGCACTTCTGCAAGGAGGTCATCCATATTGTAAGAAGAATTAGGTTTCTTGATTTTGAGCTCTTGTACTTTACCTTGACAACATTTATAGCATTTCATAACTACACATTTATCTGATGATTATTGTTTAACACCTGCTTCTCCCACTACTCTGTTAGACCCAGAAGGGGAAAATCTGGTATTTATTTTGTTCTCTGCTACAAATCTAACACCTACCACAGTGGTGGCATGTAGTGGGTGCTCCATAAACATTGCACGAATGAGTGAAGGAACAATTGCATCGAAAGTGAGCCCAAACACAAAATTCCAGTCAAGCAAGAGAATAAGCTCTAGAGATCTGCTGTATAAGATTACACCTATGGTTCAAAATAATATATTGTACACTTGAAAATTTTTTAAGGTAGGGTAGAACTCATCTTAGGTGTTCTTTTTACAATGAAATAAAATTAAAATTAAAATCTGAGAAAAAGTGAGCCCAAAGTATGCAACATGGCATGAGAATGTAGTCTCTTTCAGATATTAAAGATTAGTTCATGCCAACACCACTCACCCTCTAATGATTTGAATTTGGGTTCATTAGCCACAGTTATTCTATAGATACCACCTTCTCTTTTCTTTTTATTGCAGTAACATTGGAGTATAACATTATATAGCTTTCAGATGTACATCACACCACCTTCTCTTAAAAATGCCAAATTTCCATTAACTCTAATGGACCAAAGAGACACTATTAGTTTCAAGTAACTTAGAAATGACCCCATAGAGTATTGAGGTCAACAAGCATTTTATAAAATAATATCTGGTTATACTAGACTTGAAAAAAGAAGATTCAGATTGGCATCATTTAACTTCAATAGATCAGAATACCTGCTATCTCATAGTTGCTTCGAGAGAAAAATATACTAACGTGTATGAAAGTTCTCCACTTAAAAGCATCCACGTCAGTTGTTCTCAAATTTCAGAGTGCATTTGAGTCACTGAAAATCTTGTTAAGTGTATGGCTATTTAGACCCTGCCTTCCAAGATGCCAATCCAGTTAGGAATAGAGCTCAAGAATCCTCCATTATTGATGCAGATTGAAAACAGAGCTTCTTTTGAGAGGCTCCATTTCAGCCAAGCAGGAAAGGTGATTATTGTTAGCGTAATTCAACTGTAGCCTGCCCTCCATGCAGCTTATATCTTTAGGAATTCCACCATATTCCAAATGTTATCAAAAGCAATGATAACAACAGAAGGAAAGAACACCTGAAAACTGCTAGGAGTCTCTCCAAATGCCATGCCCTTTCCCTCTGCCAGAAGTCGCAAACTATCAGCTTACGAGCTGAAGCTGACCCATGGAAACATTTTATTTAGTTTACCCAGTATTTTCTTTAAAATTTTGAAATCGTTGCCGATGTGCAAAAATCCATATAGTTCACACAAAAGTTGAGAGATCTGTAAACACCAGACCCAAATTTCTGCAAGGTAACAATCCCCTAGATAAGAAGCAGCCGTCCTCCTCAGATTGACCCTGCAGTTCACTGCTTCCCTTCCCCAACACCCAACCCCTACTCACTCATTTCTGTGGCCTTCCTGGCCCACATGGGCATTGCTTCATACCGTGGCTCCTCCAGTCATAGCAACACATCTCAATTATTTATTTATTTTTTTTTTTTTTGAGGAAGATTAGCCCTGAGCTAACATCTGCCGCCAATCTTCCTCTTTCTGCTGAGGAAGACTGGCCCTGTGCCAACATCCGTGCTCATCTTCCTCTACTTTATATGTGGGACGCCTACCACAGCATAGCTTGCCAAGTGGTACCATGTCTGCACCTGGGATCCGAACCAGTGAACCCCGGGCAGCCGAAGTGGAACGTGTACACTTAACCACTGCGCCACCAGGCCAGCCCCGCATCTCAAATTTAATCTGCCCACTCTTTGCTTAAGCAGCTACAGCCTCTCCAACACCACCCACTGAATCCATTAACCACTAAGTCTCTCCTTCCACAGACAGGAGACTCTTCAAGGGCTCACCTCTCCTCAGCAGCAGACGAATGTTCTTCTTCACATCGTTGAACCAGCCAGGCACCTCTATGCGGCAGCAGTACACACCGCTGTCGCCTTCATTGGTGTTGAAGATGGTCAAGGACACATCGCCTCTCTTGATATTCCCCAGGAGTTCGTATTTTGACGACTTCCTCGAGAGCACACTCCCCCCGTTGGTGTGGAGAAGCTCCTCATTGCATTTGGAGTTGGGACACTGGCCTTTGCCCCAGCACATGCTGTTGCTGCTCTCAGACCAGAAGGAGTGCATACAGGGCAACGTCGCAGTCTGACCCAAAGTCGCTGTCATGACAATCTCTGAAGCTGAAGCTGTGAGGAAAGATGAGAAAACTAGGTCGTACAGTACTAAAATCTCTCAAATATGCCACACAGGGATTGCACAGATAGATGCTTCTAGGCAGATGAAGAGAGTCATAGTGTATCTGTTTCTTTCACCTAAATTCTGATGTGCCCTTCGCTGCTGCTGAGCTCCTGACTCTACACCCTTCCAGCCTCCAAGTGGAAACAATTGACCCACCTGAGTCTCTGAACTCATCTCCACAGCAAGACCTTTTTGATGACTTAAAAACTCTCATCTTGAGTACTATTCAATAAACCAATAAACTCTCCAGTGAAAAATCCTGACCCTTTAACCCAATTCCACTAACTCATGTAAACAGGTCCAAAACCAGCACTCTACCCACTGTATCTCAATAAGCAGTGATCATGGACTACTGACGAATGACTCAAATGGGTCTCCCTCTGTCTTCCAACCCAGAGAGGACTATGGCAGGAAGATAGGCTGTTGAATTATATTCTATTGTCCTTCTCTACTTGTAGTTTTAGAAGTAGAAATTAATTGCTTTGGACCATTTGTTTGTTATTAGAGAATATGAAGTTAGGTGGAGTTTGAGGATTTTTTAATGTTAGGACTGGAAGGGACCATAAGAATGATCTAGAATCGCAGCTGTGACATACGAAAATGCTGGAGGGTTAGTTTTTCCATGTTAGATATGTGAGATGGAAGGTATCACCATTTCTAAAATAAAGTATCCATGTCCCCCAACTTTGGCTACTTATCAGCATGACCTAGAGAGCTTGTTAAAAATACATATTTTGGATGGGGCTGGCCCAGTGGTGTAGCAGTTAAGTTCATGTGCCCCACTTCGGTGGCCTGGGGTTTGCTGGTTTGGATCCTGGGCATGGACCTACGCACCACTTATCAAGCCATGCTGTGTCAGGCGTCCCACATATAAAGTAGAGGAAGATGGGCACAGTTGTTAGCTTAGGGTCAATCTTCCTCTGCAAAAAGAGGAGGATTGGTGGCAGATATTAGCGCAGGGCTAATCTTCCTCAAAAAAACAATACATATTTTGCGGCCAGCCCTGTGGCCAAGTGGTTAAGTTCATGTGCTCCACTTTGGTGGCCCGGGATTCACCAGTTCGGATCCTTGGTGTGGACCTACACACCACTCATCAAGCCATCCTATGGTGGCACCCCACATACAAGAACTAGAATGACCTACAACTAGGATATACAGCTATGTACTGGGGCTTTGGGGAGAAAAAAAAAACGGGAAGATTGGCAACAGATGTTGGCTCAGGGCCAATCTTCCTCACCCAAAAAAAGCATACTTGAAAAAAATACATATTTTTATTGTCCAACCCAGAGTTAGAATCTCTGGAGCCAAGGCCCATGGAAATGTATATAACCGAGTTCTCCAGGTCATTCTGATATCATTGGCCACTCATCCTGGGTTTGAGGATCACTAGACAAGCTCTCCTAAGGTTACTTCCATCTTTGAGAATCTGCAAAACATTTTCACGGTTGCAAATGTTAAGCCCACTGGTTTCATTGAGCATCAGCGATTGTTCTAAACCAAATAAAAGCTACTGAAGTGAGAGCGAGGCAGGCCAAAGCTCCAAATCTTCACGATACATCCTGCTCCCTCTTGGTACCTAGGTCTCTGCTCATTATTTTCTCCAAAGTACCCTCCTGTGAGACTCTCTATTCACAAATCTTGTTGACCCAGTAGGCTAAATTGTATAAAACACGGCCAGCAGCACCCTGTCCCTCCCTGACCCAGGTGTCAGGAACATCCAGATATCCTTCTCTAAGAGAAGGCAGGCACAGCCCTAAGAGTCGCTCACATAGCAAGCAGAACATTGTGGTGCCTGGGTTTTTCACAGTTGGCTTTCATGATGAAGGTCATTCCAAATTCAGACCAGTCTGCAGCCTTCCCTGAACTCACAGTCTCTTTGCTTTGCCGCCGTGGAAGTGTTTCCCAGATTGTAAATGCTGTGGAATCCCATTTTGCCCCCAAGGAAACCAAGAGAAAAATAAGAAATTCATTGTCTTCACCCTCAGCTGTGTTAGCAACACAGAAAACATGCACCTAGACCTATAACTTCTAAAATATGAGTTAGTTCCTATGAATATTTGGTAAATTAATTTTTTTAACGTGCAAGATTTCTCCTAGAGATTCAAGAGTTTATTTTCCCAAGTATCATAGCATAGAAGGAAGTAGGCTACTACTCAATAAGGAAAGACGCGAGAGAAAAACTGGCAAAGGACTTAACAGGCAATTCATAAATGAAGCCAGTAAATTTCTTTTACTAGATTGGCAAAAATTTAGAACACTGATAATATCAAGTGTTGGCCAGACAGAGATCTAAGAAATGACTTAACCTACTGGAGTAAACTGGAGTGAAATGGGGTGTGAGTTGGTACAGCCGTGCTTAGGGGTAATTTGGCAGTTTCTGTGAATACTCAACATGCATGTCTTAGATAAGCCAGAGCAATTTCATGTTTTATTATTTACCCTGGAAAAACACACGTGTACAAGGAGACCTATTTGCAAATGTTTACTGCAGCCCTCATAGATATGTGAATGGAATGAACAAGGTGTATATGAGGAGTGGCTAAACTATGGCGGATTCCCTCCGTGGAATCATATGTAGACAACTAATAGGATTAGAGAGATCTATATCAATTGGCATGAAAACTCCAAGCCTCATTAATGTATGAAAAGGGCAAATTCCAAAGCAACGCATAAAATATAAAACCATTTTGTAAAATAAATAAATAAGACAGTTTGCGTTTTTTTGTGGGCACAGACATATGAAGGCAAATGCATGTAGAAGTGGCTGGTGGGATGTACACCCAGCTCCTTGTGTCAGTCACCTCCATGATCAGGGGAAAGGGACTGGGCTGGGGGTAGTAGTCAAAAGGGATTTTAGCTTTATAACATTTTCATTTCTTTCACCAAGGGTGTTTCTGTATTACTCATCTGATCAAAAATTAGTATAAAAAAAAGGAAGCAGGCAATTTGGTGTGGCAGAAAAACACCCATTAGGCTTATGTTAAAAACCTCATTCTGCCAGCCACTGCTTTTGTGTTCTTGGAGGAAAGGCACAATAACCCTGCCCTCATTATTATCATAAGACAAAGGACAGAGAGAATACTCCCCTGAGGTATAGTTCTAAGCATGAGATGAAGTAGAAAATGCTACATGAAATTAATAAAGAATTCGTACAAGTAACCAAGCACTCAGAATGTAGAAATAGGACAGGAAACTCTTCCTTCCATCTGCAAATGTATACTGGAGCAAAGGAATTGTTGATATCAAATCAATTCCCCTTTCTGGGGAATTACCCAGGATCGTGGGTTCAACCTCAGTTCTGCTGCCAGCTTGGTTCTTTCTCTAGGTGGGGACCTTAAGAAAGACCCTTCCCCCACCCAGGTCTCAGTTACACCTTCTACAGAGAGAAGGATTTGATTCTGCATCTTTTAAGAGCACATCCAGCTCTGACTGATCCTCGGTGATTCTCTCTCTTCTGAATTGGTCATTTTAGAAAAGGTACAAATGGAGAACTGACAGTTCTGCAGGTGCCGCCTCCTTCAAATAAAGCTGGAGAAGCCCACTCAGTCAGCATCCAGCCAGTAGCAGGGAATGCGGACACAGACTCTGGCAACTTCCAGCATAACAAAGTCCTCCACACCTCAAATTCCAAAGACAAAGAACAGTAAAAAACGTTGATAAAGAAAGTGACCGGGACTGCTTTCATTCCACTCACTCCTACAGAGTATGTGGGGAGAGAGGCGGCTAAGAGAATTAGCACAAGGGGACCAGTTCTCTGATGAGCACTCCAGGGAGGACAGGAACTCACAGCAGAAACACCTACAGTGGTCCCGAGGCCACGGGTGCTCAGGAAGGGCCTGACTCAGGTGGAGACCTGAGAGTGTGCGGACTCATAGAGGAAAGAAGGACAGAAAGAACAACCTGACAAAGGGGTGGAGAGAACACATTTGTTTTCCTTGGAATGTAGATGTTTTCTCATGAAGCACATTTGAAAGATTCGTGTGCCCTGTACCACCAGGGAGGCAACGGTCTGAACTGGCCCAAACTGAGTGTGTCCATTTGTGTTGTCCAAAACCTGGAAACAATGTGCAGAAAAGAAACCTCACCTTGAAGCCTCATCCCCAGCAAAATAAAACAAAACAAAAAGCAAACAAAAACTCCTGAAAATAAAGAGAAAAAAAAGAATTATAATAAGAGCTCTTCCTGGAACAAATTGCCCCAGCCCTGACTGTGCTAATAACACTGCAGATGAAGTTTCTTTTCCCCGCTTCATCTGACCCCTTATTCCTGTGTGTCTTCTTAAATTGTCATTTCTTATATGAACACAAATTACCCCACCCTAAAACCCCCAAAGCAGTCTCAGGGTGAACCTTGTGAAACAAGGAAGGAGAGAGACCCTCTAAAGAAGAACACCTGGGGGGATGCCAGCAAGAAGTGGGCTTCTGCTCTCCTGAGGCCCAGTCAGCCGTGGAAAGCCCTCACAGGGTGCCAGGCTGTCCAGCCTCTTGAATGGAAGGTTTCAGAACACTTACTCAGATAAAGCCGCCCGAGCTCAATCAGCACCCAGAGAATGAGAGGCTTTTCAGACATTTTGACTGTTGGTAGGTCCCAAGAGTCTGTCCATCTGTCCAAAGTCCATTTCTTATACTCCAGTTAATGCTGACAGGGCGGGACCTTTAGTTTCATTTCTCTTTTTGCCTCCTAACCTTCCCTTTCCCCCATCCTGAACGTCCTCCCTCAATCTAGGACGCACGATAAAATGTGCTAAGCACTTTTCTCCTGGCCACTAGGGTGAGTGTGCTAATATGCGGACTGATGGTGTGGGTGTACATGTACTCCTTTGTCCGTGCACGTAGGGGTATTTCCTACATGTGCATGAGCATCCATGTGTGTGCTTGTGTGTATGTGCATGCGTAAGCTGCACATGAACCACTATCCACCTGGCTACTGTGCAGCTTATAATAAAATG